GGTTTAGGGTTTAGGGGCTTCAAGGGCGACTGCAAGAGGTACTACAAGATCTACAGCACTTTGAGAGTGTCCGATACCAGTATCCGACAATAGTAAACTGGAGTAGTGGTCTATAGTAGTACGCCATAATAGTATCCTACGGTAGTACCCTTAAACCCCAAAACTCCACGCCCTAAATCCTAAACCCTAAACCCCAAGCCCTAAACCCAATTCCCTTATACTCTAAGCCCTAAACCCTAATACCCTAATACCCTAAACCCTTTAAAGCGGGAAAAGAAAAGCCGATCCCAGTTCTACTCGCCGGCTTTGGCACCTCGAGACTTCAAGCAGAGGATCGGCGACTACACGCAGCTTGGCAACCTAAACCCGAAAGGCCCGAAACCCTATACCCGAAGCCTTATATCCTGGATGTTTAGGGTTAAGGGTTTAGGGCCTAAAGTTTAGGGTTGACGGTATCAAAAGGCCCGAAACCGTATATCCTACATGTTTGGGGTTAAGGGTTTAGGGCCTACAGTTTAGGGTTCAGGGTAAATAAAGGCCCGAAGCCCTATACCCTAAGCCTTATACCCGCATATGGCCCTATAGCCTATGGCCCTATATACATTACATCCTAAGCCCTATACATAGATAGAATTATAGATAGAATTATAGATAGAATTGAAGAGATAGAACTATAGATAGAATTATAGAATTATAGAATTATAGAATTATAGAACTATAGACAGATAGATTTCAATCACTGATCCGTGAGCGGTGCACATCGGCCGAGGCAGACCATCTTTCTGCCCGAGTCCACCCAGGTCGGCGTTTGCTCTCTGGTTTCCTAAAGTTATCAATCAATCAATCAATCAATCTATCTATAATTCTATAATTCTATCTATATTTCTATCTATAATTCCATTTATAATTCTATCTATAATTCTATCTATCTATCTATCTATCTATCTATCTATTTATCTATCTATCTATCTATCTATCTATCTATCTATCCATCTATATTTCGATATTTCTATATTTCTAGATATCTATCTATCTATCTATCTATCTATCTATCTACAATTCGATAATTCTATATTTCTAGATATCTATCTATCTATCTATCTATCTGTCTATCTATCTATCTATCTATCTATCTATCTATCTATCTATCTATCTATGTCACTATCTGTATCTGCATTGATACAAGTCTGTGTATGTGTATGTGTACGTGTATGTATACGTGTCTGTGTATGTGTATGTGTATCTGTTTGTGCATTTGGATGTGCATATGTACTGGTATCTGTATGTCTATATGTATTTGTATGTGTGTGTGTGTGTCTGTGTATATGGGTACATATAGATTGATTCCAATTGTACTGGAACAAGGCTGCCACAGGGACGATCGATGGTGACGTGGTCATCTGGGACCTATCGCTGATTGCCGGGTGCTCGTGATGTGTGGCTGTCGCTTGACATCGGCAGTTCTGCAGCCAGGTGCTTACGCTTGCCGATTCCCGAGGTAGATGGATTGAGCCGCCCCGATGAGAGACGGGCCGTCAAAATCATCCGGCTTTGCCCAGATGTGTCCTTAAATGCTCAGAGCTTATGCTTTCTGTTGTCCGCAGATGCCTTGGCCGACATTTCACGAATGCAGCTTTCCCAAAGCTTTCCTGGGCTGAAGGTCCTTCAAGTTCATGAGAAGGTCATGGCCTCGATTGCTTACCGTGTGCTTTATTTGGGTTCTTGTGAACGACTTTGAATGAAGTTGCCATCATAGGGAAACCACATTACTTACTATGGATCCATACAGTCTATAATGGTAACCCTAAACCCTAAACCCTAAACCCTAAACCCTAAACCCTAAACCCTAAACCCTAAACCCTAGTAACTCAAATCACATTCCTGTTCGTTGCTGGGGCCTGGCGCTGTGAGGCACGGGTTGTTATTGGCACCGCTGATGGAGCCGTCCGCTTCTATGACTATCAGTTCAGGGCCTGTGCCTCAGAGTCTCCCCAGAGAACCCAATACTCCTTAGATAAGGAATATACCTTAAAGTATAGGTGCTTTAACATTATGACTTAAGGTATATTCCTTAATTAAGGGGTATTGGGCTCTCTGGGTCTCTCCGGGCCCTTTAGGAGACCTGGCTTCTGCATCTCTCATGGATGAAGTGGGCTCCAGGCCCTTCCGAGGGGTTAGGATGGTCTGTCGCGTGGGATGAGAACCCCATGGGTGGTTTTCACAATTAGGTTTTTTTGGGGTACCCTAAATAATAGGTGCCGTACTATGAGAAGGACCCAAAAAGGGACCATAATTTTGACAACTACCCCCATGGATTCCGGGGCCGTGGATGCCATCCACGGATGCAACCAGCGGGCTCCCTGCGTGGAATTCATGCACGGCCTGCTTTCCAAGCCACTGCGGCTGGAGCAGCGAGGAGCCACATCGGGAGATTTCGTTCAAGGGACTTCCTCGGTAATCTGGCCGGCTGCCAGTCGTCTGGCTGAGTATCTCTGCGACCATCCCGAGCTGATCAGGGACAGAAGTGTGCTGGAGCTCGGGGCGGGTTTGGGCCTCGTTGGCGCGGCTTGCGCTGCCGCCGGTGCCCAGCCGGTGCTGGTGACGGATTGCGAGAGGGCGCTGCCCCTGCTGGAGCGGAACCAGGCGCTGCTCGCCGAGGAGAGGGGGCTGGGCTCCTCTGCCAGCGTCCACAGCGACTGTCAGAGTGACGGCAGGACTCGGTCATCCTGAAAGTGTCGAGGCACCTGCAAGTCATGTGATGTGACTCGACTCTGCGTGGCCTAAACCCCGTAAACCCCTGCGCAGGCTGGAGTGGGGTCTGGCAGAGGATCACGCCCGGATCCTGGAAGGCGCTTGCCTTCTCAGCCCTAAGACTTCTCGTGCCATCGTGAAAAAACTGCAAGTGCTGCACCTGCAGGTCATCCCCGCGGCTTCGATCTCCTTGTCGGGAGTGACATCATCCTTTCATCTTTCGAGCTGGACGCGTGAAATGCGTTGCTTGACACCCTAAGTGTCTAAACTTTCGACCCTCAACGGTCCTAAGCCCTTACAGACCTGGATCGCTAAACTCTCAACCCTAAACCCGATAATGCCCCATAAACCCTGAACCCTAGCAACCCTGAATCCCAGAACCCTGAATCCCAGAATCTACAGCGAAACGCAGCAGGACAAGCTCTTCGAAAGCTGCAGGGCGCTCCTGTCTCGCTCCCCTGATTCCAGGCAGCTTTTTTTTAAGAGTCCTATAAAGGTTCCTCCAAGGGTTTCCTATAAAGGAGTCTGTAAGGTTTCGGGTTTAGGGGTTTAGGGCATGTTTTTTCATAAGGGTTCTATAAGGTCTGAATGTAAGGGTTCTTATACGGGGCTATTGGGGTTTTATAAGGGCTCTATAAGGGTTCGAGCAAACGGGTCTAAAAGGGTTTTGCAGGGTTCGTACAGTCTGAAAAGCTGTTATAAAGGTTCTTCCGGGGTTCTATGACGAATGTGGAGGTTAAGGCCAAGCCAAGCAAAGCCGCTTTTAACCAGAATACAAATGGACTTCTATAACCAGGGCCCTTCAGCACCCCGGGTGCATTTTGGGGGTATGACAGTATGGCATACCGTCCCCAATTATCACGACTGATCCCTGTGCCCTGAGCCCTGAAGCCGGAAACCCTAAACCCCTAAACCCCAAACCCTAAACCCTAAACCCTACCTTCAACGCAAAACCTTAACCCTGGAATGTGATCGAAGGTGGAGATACTAGCCCGGCCAACCAGGGACCTCCAAGCGCAAGCACAGAAAAGGTCTTTCAACAAAATGAAATAAACCCAAAACCCCTAAACCTGAAAGCCTTAAACCCTGGGCCCCTAAACCCGAAGCCCCTAGACCCTTAAACTCCAAAGCCCCTGAACCCCAAAACCCCAAACCCCTAAATTCCTAGACCCTAGTCCCCCAAAGGCCCTGAACCCCAAAAGCCCGACACCACCAACACCCCAGGAGACCCTAAACATCCCTAAACCTCAAAACCCCAACATCCCAAAAGCCCTAAAGCCCCTATCACCCCTAAACCCTAAGCCCAAAACCCTAAAACCCTAAACCCTAAACCCTAAACCCTAAACCCCTAAACCCGCAACGAAAGTCCGAAAGTCCGAAAGCCCCAAACCCTGGCAGGCTCCTCCTGGCCTTTGAGTTTCGGGAGGACTGGGAGTCCATTGGAAACTTCATCGCCTGGGCGGAGGAAGCCGGCGCCCTACCACCCTATTGTCACTATAGTTATGTTATAGTATATTATAATTTTTTATAGTATATTTGAGCATGTTATAGTATATTATGGTATACTGTCGTATATCATGGTATGTTTCAGTAAGTTGCAGTACACAAGAGTACATTGTAGTTTATTCTAGTATGCTGTTCTATATTCTAGCAAGTTGTTGTCTACTGCAAAAACAGTACGTACAGTACATAATAGAACTTAAGAAGTATTACGTCCTTCAAGCAGAAAGTTTCGAGATTTAGGGTTGCATTTTCTTGGTGAGCTGTCTGAAGCTGACTGAGCCGAGGTGGGCATGGAGGTGTGCCACCAGGAACTTGGAGGCCACCTGGTACTTAGTAGAATTTTGCAGGAGCTCGTTGGATGTGTTGAGTCTGCTTTTGCTGGGTTTTGGGCAGATCCGGACGACGAGATCTACCTCTACACGTTCCGATGGGCAGACTGATGCCTTCGCACTCTTCGGAGCCGCTCAACGCGAGCTTCCCCCAACCTTCAAGATGCCGTGGACCTCGAGACCGTCTCGCACGAAACTGCTCTCCACGCACTTCTCGTGCTTTGGATGGGCTTCGGTATAATATACTATAACCTACTAAATTACTACAATATACTATAATATACTATAATATACTATAATATACTATAATATACTATAGTATACTATACTATACTCTGCTTGGCGTTCCAGTGGGAGCTCAAGGTGCCCATGCGCGGGATCTGTCTCACTGGGCGGCTGGAAAGCTAGCTTGAGACCACCGCTGCAGCCAAGGGACAAAAGGCCTTTGCTTTGGAGCTCTTTGCTTTGTCTGACCATGTGGGGGCATCCGCATCTCATGCGTGGCACGAGGATGCTGCCTGCGCTGAGGTCCAAGCGTGGTTCGAAGACCTCTTGGCTGGATCTGTGAAGTCCATTTCTTTTGAGAAGGCCAACGAGGATGCAGAGGAGTGTACCAACATGAGCACCAAGTGTAGCATTGTCGTTCCTTGCCCATGTTACAATGCTAGAAGCTGACTGTGTTCTCCGGACAAGCTCGATCTCAGCGTGAAGTACGGAAGATCCAGTCGATGTGCACGCAGACGGCGGAATCGTGTGCTGCACGCTGCCCCTTGCAGGACTATGAGCCCACAGGAATCAGCGCTGGTGTCGGTGTAGAGGACGGTGTAATTTCAATAGTGATGCAGAAGATTCTCCATGGGATCCCAGAAAGATGCGAAGGTCAGTGTCTCCTGTGCCGCTTCTGAGATTCTGTGACTGTGGTGGCCTGTGAGGACGACTTCAAGTGCCCCAACTTTCTGGTGAGCACAGGCAGGGTGTCGTGCAGCTCGCTGCATGCAAAAATGATATACGCACCAAACTAGCCTTCTTTTGCTTCGTTTTGCATCTTCAAAAACAGATAGCGATTGCTATGTGCATGGCTGTTGTCCATGGCTGCCATAGATCTTGTCACAAGATGAAGAGGAGCTTTCTTCGATAAAGTGCCATCTTACTTTGTTTTACCCCTAAACCCTAAACCCTAAACCCTAAGAAGGAGCCCCGGACTTCTGATTTTGATACTTATGAAGGGAGCCAGCCGAATTCAGTCCTGCCTCACTTTGAGACAGGGTTTAGGGTTTAGGGTTTGGGGGCTTCACCTTTGGAGGGTTGAAGGAGCTCTTGTACTTCTTGCTGCCGAGGAGCCTTCTTATGCGCCCTCATACGCAAACGAAAATTTTCACTTACGGAGGAGTTGTCTCGTTTCTGATGAACCAAAGAACAGCTATTGGAGTTGGGGTTCAATAATAAAAGCGCTCTTGTATTCGGCTGCCTTCACTTATAATGGAGGGGGGATGAAAGGAGCTCTCACTGTCTTCTCATTCGTAAACCAAACGCTGGAGCCACTAGGCCCCGTCAGGCAAAAGCAGGGCAGTGGGAAAGAGATGGCCCACCCACAGAGACATTTTCGTGAGAGAGAATATAGCGTTTTTGTTATCAGAGGACAGTTTTTAAACAAGACACACGAAAACACTATAAAATGGAAACAAACCACGAGGTTTTTTAGTACCACATGAACGCCTTTCAGATTTTTCAGCTTCTCCAACATATAGACTATCATCAATCTGGGGCCGGGATTCGGCGCCTTGTCAAGCCTGCGACATATTGCAGCACGGCTTTCAATCCACACGGCGAAAGGCACGATTGTATCGGTATTTACGGCGCTTTCTGCATGTCTAAGTCGTGTATCACGGTAGGGAAGCAACCTGTGCAGTCGGGTGGAAGCGGCGGGTGTGGATCTTTGGGGGGGGGGGAATCATATGTACATGTATATGATATGTTGATATGTTTATGTATATGAAAGCATCTAAGAAGAGACTGTCATAACAGATGCCTGATCATCAACGGACGTATATATATATATATATATATTTATATATTTATATTGCTATATACGTACATATAGTATACATTGTGGATGTATGTATGTATGTATGTATGTATGTATGTATGTATGTATGTATGTGTGTACATATGTATGT